GCACCAGAGCATCAAGTGTGTGTTTGCAGATAGGCTGATGACTCCCACGCGCCACTTAGGCCACTTTCAGCCGATCGAAGTCAACCAGTTGACCGAGCTGCCACACTTCTATGATGATGGCTTAGACCTCCAGTGCTCTTTGTATAGGATCCAAGCCATTGTTTGCCACACCGGTTCGAGCTTAGCTGGACGCTTCCGTGCTGTGTTGAAAGGCTCGGAAGGCTGGTACATATGCCAGGACAACGAAGTCCCACAGTTCACTGAGCACCTCCCTGACTGGTGTCTTGAGAGAACGGTTCTCTTTTGGATGCTCCCCACGATTGCTGCTTTGCCACCCGAGGCCACGGATCAGATTCCTGATCGGTCAGATTCTGACCATGTTTCTGACCAAGGTGATTCCACTAAGGTGTGCCCTTCGATTCCCACTCAGGTCCTGACTCAGGATTGGACGAATGAACAGCCGCTCCATGCAGATGATGGTGACCCTGCAGCGGAGGACGCTGCCCCACCCTGCAGCGGAGCGCTGAGCCTGGTTTTGCGGACGGTTTTGGACGATAGCGCTGGGCGCTGTCTCTATGGCTGATGGCTGGCAGATGTGCGCCTGAGTGGCCTGAGCTCCGCTACCAGGGTGAAAGCACACCTGATGAATGATGTCTCATACCTTTTGCTGCTTCCCTTGGATTTTTGTCGCAATCGGCCGTCCGGGAATGCAGTTTTCGAGTTTCGAGCTACTAGCTATAGAAGCCACAGAAGCCACAGATCCCCCGGTCCGGTCGCGAAGACCGAAGATGGCGCGAGACCTCCTCAGCGTAAGAGAAAGAAAGAAAGAGTTGTTGTTGTGGATGTGGGCCGTCGTTGATAGGTCGAGTGGTTGGTGGGTTGTTGGTGGGTTGTTGGTGGGGTGGCGGTTGGTTTTTGAAAAGTCTGGACTACAGGCGCGCGAGGAGCTTGACAGCTGCAGTTTCGGAGGGGTAGGTGTCTACAGGCGTGCGCAACACGGAGAGGGGGTGCGCCTTAAAACAGCGGGAGGGGGTGTGGGGGAGGGCGCAGCGCCTCCTCCCCATGCATACAGAAAGGGTTAGTGGACGGAGGTGTCGTCCAGTACAAGATGACAAATCTAGGTGAGACAAGGCAAGTCTTTGTTACGAAAGCCAGCCTTCGTAGAAGGCGCTAGCGGAGTTGTGTCTGGCGAACGAAGTGAGTAGTTAGGGGGTCTGGGGGGGTGGCCCGAGAAAGGTATACGTCAACTCGGCACATGCTGGGGGAGGAGGGTGCTTCGAGGGAAGGTTTTTGAGGTTGTGTTGGAGGTGATTTTTGAGGGGTGGTGATGCAAGAAATGCCAAATGCATCATTTGCATCATCTGAATGGAAAGGTGTAGTTGGCACCTTGCAAGGTATAGAGTCTAGAGACCTAGGGTAGCCATAGTGCAGCTACCAGGTATAGTACTTCAAGTTGCCTTTCCGTCAACCGCTTGAGAACCTCTACACACGCACAGCAATCCACAGCTTTGAAGTCTCATTCGTGCTTTGAACTTGTATAGGTGTGTAAGAGGTATAGCAACATAGTATTTATACGGACCCAGGGTAGCTACAAGTAGCTACAGTTCTGTTCCCGGGTATGGCGCGCATGAGGCTTCAAAGCTGTGGTTTTCAAGCTAAATTCAAGGTGGCCTGAGACCAGGGTTTGCTGCCCTAAAACACTCTGTTCAGGCCACCTTGAAAATAAAGGTGTAGTTGGCACCTTGCCAGGT